CTGAAAAGCATTTTCACCTTACTTACACCTCCAGAGAAGTCAATTAATGTATGTAGCTGTCTAGATAAAATGAGTTAGATGAGCAACAGTGGAAAAAAAAAAACAGCAATGAATCCAAAAGATGTAACAACAGCATAAGCAGCAGGTTCCCTGGGAAGTCAGTAACACAGGAAAATATACTGAAAATACAGAGCTTGGGAGGTGATCAGACTGCAAATCCTGAACAACATTAAGACTAGAAGATGCATCAGACACATCACAGTGATCAGCATCAGTAAGCCCATCTAAACCAGAACTCCAAGATGGAAACACTCAAGGTAAAATTTTTTTGAATCGACCATGTAAGAAAAATTTAAAAATTAATCAAAATCACCTTGGCTACTGGATTCTGGAAGAAACTTATGGAGAATAAATCAGTACTGAGAGAGCACCAAGAAGCTTGTTATTTGAACTGTGATAATAGAAATTAAGTATATTAAAATGGCTGGGAGTCTACATCAGAAATCATTCGCAGTTGCACCAGGCTCTACACTGAGATCCCTGTTAGGCTAATCACCTCCTTGAAGACAAAGCCAGGCTTCATAAAGGAGAAAATTTGAATGGTTTTATCACAGGAGAATGTTTCCTTCCCTCTGCCCCTTCTATCTCAAAAGGAAACAGAAACTAAAATTATAATTAGAAGAAAAAACCCTCATAGACGCTTCTAGATCAAATTCTTCTAGACTATTTTTATGTAATTACAGAATTAACAGAAGTTATGGATTTCAGTAAACCCTTTGACACAATGTCTTAAAACTGAAGAGATGATATGGCCCAGATATATGTACAATTAACCACAGGAAGACAGTCAGCTGAATGATATTGTGAAGCCAGAAGTTAGAATTTGGCCCTATTTTTTAACATATCTGTTAATCATCTGGAAGAAACATAGGCAATATGTCAGATTAGTGCCCTGAGCCTAATGAAAAGATAATGTGCAATGTGCCTACAAAGGATCAAAAGGATGTTGACGACTGTCAACATTCCTATTTAAAACAGAGAAGTCCGCAGAATAAAACTGCATGGCAACAGGTTAGAGCATATATAACATAGTTTATGACACATATTAAGTCTTTAAGCAGAAACACAACACTCCCAGATTATCTGTCCTTATACATACACTTGCAGTACTATGCCACTGAGAACAGAAGAGATTCTAAAACTTAAGACTATCAAGATAGTGCAGGCATTTGAAGAAATGATGTAAGAGAAGATGATAGGCTTGAAAAGAGAGGTGAGGAAATGATGTGAATGCTATCTCTAATAAACGCAGGACGTCTAGAGAAAGACGAAAGGCAGTGATTAGCCTATAAGCAACAATATGACTGTTTACAGAGAGAATTAGCCTTGACAAAGGCACAAAGGCAAAAGATGACAAGGTAGACTAAAGGAACAAACTGCTGAATGCAGCTTGAGAAGCTTCAAGAATGGAATGATCATACACACAGCCATTTTAACCTGAGTCACTGCAAACAAAATTGAGCGTGTCTAATATGATTTAACATGTCTGTGATAACATATCTGCTTCGTAACCAAGTCTGAATCTTCCTTGAGTTTTATGTCCTTGAAATTTCTCCATGATTTTATTAGTCAGGTTTCAGAATTCAAAAAGCAAATCAAGACATAAGCCAAATCCTTTCTGTTCCTCTCCCTTACCCCAAACAGAGCCAACGATCTTTGAAAATGAGGGAGTGTATGAAGTTAAAATCTTCTGTGGTGATTCAGACTAGATATAAGGAAGAATTTTTTTTATGATGAGAGTGGTGAAACACCGGACAGGTTTCCCAGAGAAATGGTAGACGCCCCATGCTTGGAAACATTCAAGGTCAGATTGGACGAGGCTCTGAGAAATATAATCTAGTTGAAGATGTCCCTGTTTATTGCAGGGTGGGGTGTGACAAGATGACCTTTAAATGTCCCTTCCAACCCAAACTATCCTATCATTCTAAAAAAACAAAACAAAATCAAAACCACCACATTCATTGGGCATGTGACATGAAAACAATATGAAATTTAAAGAAAGATTTGGCCACAGTTTCACCTGGAATAGCCCAGGGGAAGCTCTGCAGCCAGCCTGATGGTGTTCACTCAAACGGAAAAAACAGGGCATTCTCATCCTGAGTCACCAAATCTCCAAGGGATTGCACTGGATTCAGCAGATACCACAGTCATGGAAAAGCAGCTTCTGTTGTGCTTCCATACTGTTTTGTAGACTCTCTAGTATCTTCTGAACATCACTGAGCAAAATTAGAGAGACTACCAATGTCTGTGCCTGCCCTGGAATCTCCACCGGAGAATTCAACAGCATAAGGGGACTATGCATTAACTTCTACTTTGATTTTGCAAGTAGTTACGGATAGAAGGACTAATCAGCACTTCTCAGTACATTTTGTTGTTCAGAAGAGCTGTAAGAGGCTGTTACAAAAATTGGTGCTGGAATCTGCAGAAATCTAGTACAGATTTACTGGTCTATACTGTATGAACAAAGATGCTGCACTACAAGCGGCAGTTCCAATAACTATTCATTTGCCTTTTGTACAATGTTCATGCTGGATGCAGTAGCAGAGCTGTATAGAAGTTTTCATCCTCATGTTCTGAGGTTTATTACACATGGTATTATTCTTTTCTCACATAGTATCTGAAGTCTCAAACATAAATTCATAGTATTCCATGTAGTGATACAAGAGAAACCTAGTAATATCACAAAAGAATACTCATACTTCATAAAATGAGTACTTCAACTGTTGGATCCTAATTAGAAATGGAGCGTCTTCTTGGTGCCATTTCTAAAATACTTGGGTTTTCATGGCAGCCTGTGTCTGAACCAAATTTGGCAGATCCATTTTTGTTTCTTGTACATGAAAATAATTATATAATATTTAGCCCCCTTTCATAGATAAAATATTCAGGTCCATTAAATATGAATCTCTTTTCTCGCTGCTGGTCAAACAGCAAGAACAGCTGTCAGCTCCCTTCCTCCTCCCCAGAGCAGTTTATGCACAGTAGGACAATGTTCTCTGATCACTGCTCTGTTCTGATCCTCTGCTATTTGCTTGTCTATAGCTTAAGGGATTGCAAACTTGATTATCAGATCAGAGTGTATCCGGATACCAGAGCAGAACTGCCATAGACTTTGGACCATGCTGGCCTGGTACAGTAAGCAAAAGGCTCAGTATAAAAAAATACAAATAATGTAAAATTATTCCAAGTATACTTTGTGTTAATCCTGTAGGCTGGTGAATTTCTGCAACAGTTACAGGAATTAATTTACTCTGCTTACTGGATTGGATTAGTACACTAGTCAGTGCCTCAAACTCCAGTTTATGATTAGCAATTTGCCACTAGACTTTGGCTATTCTGTTACCTGGCTGGAAGATCTATTGTGTGAATAGGTGTATAGAAAATATCACAAGTGAAACAGCACACAAAAACAGAGCTCAGCTAGTGGTGATATTCTGACACATATGGATCTTAAATTTCCATTGGTGTTAGAGGAAAGGCTTCAGGTAAACACAGATTTAGTCTCATAAAATTACCTACAGGGTTTCTAAGTTAATAGCTTTGATTATTTAAAGAGAAACAGATTTTCAAAAAATAAACTTGACAAATTAAATAAAAGCTTGTAACTTTTTTTACATTGCTGAAAAATCACTAATAGAAAGAAAAAGATTTTATAGAGTCATCATGAACTTTACAATGGTAAAATGTGATCTATGGCATCATAACATCAAAATTCATCTCATCATTATGAATTTGCCTTCATTAATGTTTCTCTCAAATTACAAAGAAAAAAATAAATTAATTAAAGGGTGAGCTCTGAGCCATGGCAATATAATCCTCCATCTTAAAAGACTATAAACTATAATCTATAGAACTAACTGGTTTATGCTATCAACATGTGATGGATTTTTGTTGTTCCAGCAAAAATGCAACAAAATGTTCTTCTGTCTGCAGACACACTATGGTAATGTTGATGTTCTGAATAAACATGAGAAATTCCACCACGAGAGCTGTATGAAACTTATGTTTCCACTTCACAAATAATCAGCTGTTTTTTTTCTGGTTTAGTTTTTTAAAAAAAAAAAAATCTGATTTTGATTTTTCCCCTTAGAGTATCATGCTGAATTCCAAATTCAGAAAGCTTCCCATGCAAAAAAAAAAAAAAAAATTAACTTTATTTAACTTTCCAATTTTGCATATGTGTGAAAGTCTATGTTTCACACCGAGTACATGTTAGCATTCAGCCCAGATTTGTCACTGTGTGAAACTCATCCAAAATGGCCAAAGTGAAAAATGACAAGTGTTTTATGACAAGTGCTCCATTTTCATTAAGCATAATGTATACTTTTTCCAAAAGCGTGTATCTTGGCAAATGTATTTTTGCCTCAATTCTCCATCCCCAGGGGATTGGTTTTAGATTCAAAATTAACTGCACAGCAAGTTGATGCTTTATTTCTGAGCAGTTTCTCATTTAGTCAACAGTATATGTTGGCCATTATATGTTGTAAACATGCAAACTTTTCGAGCTTTAAACACTTCCGTAGCAAATATTTCCTATCCAGGTCATCTGAAAGATCTATCAAAGTAGGTTAAATTTAGGTTTTATTTCCAACGTTCCATACAGCTTTTACTAGACTATCAGCTACAGCCATCATTTTGGATTTGTTCCTTCGGAAACAGATAAAACATATTTAACTCTACATCCTGACTGAGAAAATACCTCACAGTGAAGCTTAACTGAGTGCATGCTTTAAAAAACAAGTCATTCAGTTTTCCAGGCTAGAGGGCAGCATTCATTGCTGAGGTGGCTAAGAACACTGCTATGCAGAGCTAAGACAAGATCATTATAATCCCACTCCACTCATTTTCTACAAGCAATTACATTTTAAAGCTCTGTCTGGCAGAAGTGAAAGTCTGCCTTCCTACGACAATGCTAAAAATATATCCCCGTTTCAGTCTACCTTATTGACATCCATTCGCAGCTTCTCATTGTTGGCACTGGCGGCCTTTTCTGCCGCTTTCTTTTGACGTTGAGGTCCCCTGCCAAAGAAGATGTAGTTGACCAACGCATACTCCAGCAGAGCCATGAAAACGAAGACAAAGCATCCCATAAGGTACATGTCAATGGCTTTCACATATGGAATTTTGGGAAGAGTCTCTCGAAGATGGGTGTTAATTGTTGTCATTGTGAGCACAGTTGTGATTCCTGGAAAAAAGAATTGACAAGTCTATTGATTGAATTAATTTTAATTTTCTAGTATAATAGCTCATAATATTCAAATGATAGAGCTGAAAAATTCTAGGAGATTTTTTTTCCCTGGTGGAATAAAACCACCCTCAACCTGCGTCTATATTGTTTGTCTTTAATTTTTTGTACAGCAAAGAAGGTTACACCTGCAACAATTCGCATTCAATCAATCAAACAGTAGTTGGATTCGATGACTGTGTTTTTAACCAGCCCAAGTGTAATCTTCTCCAACGAGTCTCAGTTATAAATTACCAGCCTAGAGTCACTGTTACCTTGCTTTCCTCCAGCATTTTCAGGATGTCTGCAGTTTTGAATTCTTATGGGAAAATGGTACAGAGAAAGGCCTGGTAACACTCGGACAGTATTCTATAAAGCTGAAATGTAAAATTCTCCATTGTATTTCACTTATTTTATCTGCATGAGGGCTGTACTGGCAGGAATCTGTTTGATTTATATAAAATTTGGCAACAGATACTCATGTTTATTTTTGTAACATGCTTGGATTCTCTGACGAGGGGCACAGCAGAAACAAACACACATGGGATTAGTGATGAGATATCCAAGTACTCTGGAGATTAATTAAGGAAATTGTTTTCCTTTTAGAATGTAAGGTAAAACCCTCAACTTAAAAAGTTAGCTACACCACCTTAGTAAAACTTTATTTAATTCATACCTGAAAGGAAAAGCAATTTATAATCCATAACACAGTGCTGAATGTGTGTTCTGGACTGCCATTGGCAAAAGCAAACTAAATGCATTCTCTTTGCAGAAAAACAAGCAGTAAAACAACAACAGAAAACGTCGAGACAATTAGGCTAATTCTGGTTACAATGATTATACAGTTAGCTAATTCAGACATGAAATCACTTTAATTTTTATTTAAATTGAGATGATTTGAATGTTGATTCAAATAATACAAAGCTTAACAAGCCAGACATAAAAAGATCTAACTTATTTATTTTTCAAATCATGCACTATCCTCTAAGCCAGAAGCAAGAAAAAACATTCAGCTAATGCATGAGATGTGTAAAAATGCCTACCTAAAGCAACTCTTGCAGCAGAAGCATCATAATTAATCCAGAAGGAAACCCAGGATAGGATAGTGATCAGAATAGAAGGCATGTAGGTCTGCAGAATGAAGTAACCAATGTTTCTCTTAAGTTTAAAGCTGAGAGAAAGCCTTGGGTAGGCACCTAAAAAAGAATATTTGGTACAGCCATAATTTACTTGTATAAAAGTCTGAAAACATTTTTTCTGTCATTTTTTGGTTTTATTGTTTCATGCAACATAGACTACATACAGAGTTGAAAGATCCAGGATAATTAGCTTCAGAATTTCTAGCAAAAATTTGGATTAAATAATCTTTAACTCTACAAGGGTGCTCTAGGTGCTTATCTACTGGTAATCATAATATTCAACAATCAACAGCCAAAATACATTTCAGAGCATCAAAGCATAGAAACATTTTTTCCCTGACAAGTTGCAGCACTGCCTACTTCAGTGCAATCCTTACTCTAACCTCTCCAGCAATGCAACATTTGCCTGGACTGGACACCAGAAGTATTTTGGTGTATAAAACACTTGTTGAAATAGGTGCCTAGAGATCACTACTTAAATCCTATTTCTGCTTGGTTTTGAAGAATTTGGGATGTGCAATCCTTCTATACAGCCTCCAAAAATGATTTCTATCCATACCTGGAAAGTGAGTTTTGAAGACTTTTTTTTTTAACACACCTAGCAGCTTTCTCAAGTAGGTAGAGAACGTCGCACAGTAATAGCCCATCCCAACTCTTGTCTCTCCTGAATGATTTAATATGTCATTGAAATGTTCTAGTTGTTTCTCATTTTGTTTTTTTTTTTTTTATGAAATCTAATCTTATTTTCTACTTCTCCCCACAAAGTATCTTTTCAGCCTTCAGACAGTCATATGGTTGCTAGCATAGGCTAAACTTCAAATCCTGTGGAACAAATATTTTAAAGGTTTTACAGTGAAGACAAAATAATTAGTCTAATATATCCACAGCTTGGCACAAGGAACATCTAGAACTAGCGAAAGAAAGGTTCCTAAATTTCCTACAAGCTGAATTACTTCTTGCTGGGTTTAGGGCGCTGAGGTGTACAAGGGGCTTAATCAGTTTTCATAGGAACACAGAAAATACAGCTTATTTAAATGAGCCTTAACATGACAAACTACTGTATCCTCTTCTTATATTAATGAGTGATGCCTTATACACTGTCAAAGCTGTAATAAAAACTGCTCCTTTCAAAATTCACAGTTCCTGCTCTAATTTATTCCCATTTCTAAAATTTTTGCTCAGATCCCAAACTGCACATTGAGAATTAACCCATTTCTAAAAGTCTTCCCAGTGATTCCCCCTCTACAAACCTGTAGAGAAAACAACATTCTTGGTGATAAGCTTGTAGTCTACAATGGAGAACTGTGGCAGTTCGATCTTTGTCACTCCCGTGACTGCATTATCACCCCCACGCCAGTAAAACTCAATGTCATCTGTTGTATAGCCATCTATAAAAACAGGAGTAAATAGTTAACATACAAATCTCTTCTGACATCACGGAGAGCGGTCCAGAGAATTAATTCAGAAAATAACTTCAAATATGTTTCTAAAACTAAACCATTAAAAACATAATGGATATAAACACACAGATAGACGAGTAATTCTAAATATGATTTTAAATGGCAATCCTAGGTATACTTTTATCTTTTTTTAAAAATATATTATATCGACACATTAATAAAGCGAACTCTTTAAAACAAATTAAGACTACGCACATCCTATATACAGATAGTAACTGTACATTCAGCTTAAGGTGGCTTCTGATCCAAGGCTGGATAAAACAGTGTGGGTTTGCTGTAGTTTAAGCCACTGGGCTGAAACATCAGCACTGGTAACAGAAACATGACGAAGTCACCAGTGAGGCCTAGAAGAGATGCATTTCTGTCATGTACACCATGATCAGCATAGGAAAGAGGACAATGAGTAATACAGGTAAGAGAGAAGAAGTTATCTCAAGATATTTCCTTTGTATACTATGTAGTTTATAATCTAACTATAGATAAAAAGGACAAACTCCAGTTAAAACTCATTTAGATTCTACTTGTAAAAGCATTTTTTTTCTGAAAATGGATTGAATGCAGTAAAAGACAGTCACGTTCAATGAGGCCCTTGGAAGAAGCAAGTGTAGCAGATGCAACAGCTATCACTCTGGATGGCAAAAACACCCACCAAAAAACAAACAAAGCAAAAATATCCCATCACACACACACGAAAAATCTCAGAAGACAGGACATGTTCACGCAGTCGTAAAACATATGCATGAAACATGAATCCGAGTTTGCCAAATGGCAACTGAGCTAACTTGCATACTCCAGAGTTGGTATGCAGAACTGATCAGCAGATATCAGAAAAAAACCTGTCACAAAACCAGGAAACAAGATATTCTTGAAGGTTTGTAGCCTTTCAAAGGTTTTTGTTGTTGAAAACTGAAAATGAAAGAACAACTCAGAGACCTTTTGGGAAACTGACATAATAAAATTATATATATTTGACCTTGATTTTAAGTTCTCATCCACAGACAAAAGACAAAATTATATAATAAACACCATTTCAGAGTGCTCAAATAGCACTTAATTTCAAGGAATAATGCAGATTATGCATTTTGTGATAACCAAGAAACTATAAAACTGTTTCTGCAAATCATTAATTTTTGATAATTCAAGTATAATCCAGGTGCACAGCAGAAGCAGACGGCAAGTGAGTTTGAAGATATGAATCCAATAGTCTGAACACTGAAAACACTGAAACAACCATAAAAATCTATCCAACATACAGTAAGTTTTAAAGTATTTTGGTATTTGCATTCTCATACCATATTGATAGCAGTTCAATTTTTTTTACATATGCAACTCTTTCATTCTGATTTTCATGGCATTAGCAGCAAAGCTGAAGTAATTTGATGGCAGAAAATGGAAAACTAATTTCAGGAATCAGAGCCATCTCATTCATACAGGACAGATTTTGAACAGCTCGTGAACATCAAGAATTCAAGATGGAACCTGCTCTTCTTTCAAAGTTGCTGACACTGACAGCAAAACTGATGAGAGAATAGATTTTTAAAATGTTTGTGAAACAATTTCTTCCTTAATCTTTCCATTTACCCAAAAGCTCTCTAGCTTTAGCTGATGACATCTACCAAAGAAAAAAGAGACTTGTATCTTCTAAATAATCTTCAGGTTAATGGAGAAAAAGCTCTACAAATGTGGAACATGATATGTTTTTGACATACCCAGAACTCCGTAAGAAACAGAGTTCAAATTCACACCAACAGATAGCTTACATCAATGGTTACTGGTTTGCTTCCTCTCATACTTTCTCTCCTGTTTCACCAACATGAGAATCATCAAAGGAATAACTGAACGTAATTTGGACTAATAACTTCTCATAATAGTTAGCTTCCTTCCTCTGTTTAGACAGTGCCATCCAAAAAATTGGCTAAATTCCTCTACATCGAATTTTTGTGGAAGAAAGAATCTCATAGATATCATAATCTTTACATTTACTCTATGTTACTTTTTCAGAGTCTAAAACATGAGAAGTTTGAAAAAGAGCCAAAACTACTGCTATCTGTCTGTAGGTGGCCTATCCTCTGTAATGAAACAAGTATCATCCATGACTTGACAATCATATTGAGGCTTCTTACGCACTTTGTGATACAAAGTATGTTCAAATCTGCATTTTTAATCATCAGAATTCATCAGCTTTGAAGTTGTCTCATGAATATCAACATGTGATTGAACTTTGCTTTTTGCTTACAGCAACTTTGCATAGGAAAACCTTTAGCATCCCACATAGAATTATCTCAGATGAAATTTACAGCATAAAATTGTTCCATGTTGAGCAAGAGATCCTGTACTTAGAGGTAATAATAGTTTTAACACAATGATTTCCAATAACTAAGCAAGGTGTCCTTAGCTCAGCCAAGACTGTTGTCAGAACTGACTCTGAATTGTTCTACAGTATCAGATAAATTATTTCAAAAGAGTAAAATTACAGACTTTTCCAGGAGATTGGAATTGTTTTTACATAAGGAAATAATGTATTTTGCTTCTTTATTATGATTTTTCTGAGACTGCCTAGTTACATGAGAGCCTCCCCCTCTATCTCTCATTTCTTCAGCTTGTTCTATTTCCTCCACAATGTAAAGATGGCAAAAGGTACACGACAATAATACACAATACTTCAAAACTTTCTTTCCTTCTAAAATGACTCAAAGTACTGAAGCACTTCTATGTATTGAATGTTTTAAGAAATGAAGAATACTTGCACTTAGCTACATAATTGAGACTACCATAGTTTATGAACTTACAGACTTGAGCTGTGAAATACAACTTGAAAACTTTTGACAATATACTTTAATCCTTAATTTAGCTTTTTTACATTCATTACTTTTTCTGGTAAAAGCTTATAGGAAGTTCTGGCTTTGATACTGTTCATGTAACATCTTGGTAATTCCTCTCCTCTTCCCTGGATTGTGAGTATGAATGTCTCATCCTGCCTGTCCCCATCCTCTGGGTCTCCAGTGGATATCTGTAAAAGCTGTATTCCAGCAAAGAGACCTTGTTTTTGCAAATTGTTACTTACCACCTGAATCCACTAATAACAAAAGCTCTTGTCATGTTCCCAAATACTGCATGGAAAGAAGGTTCTCTGTCCTTTTTGGGATGCACGTAGGACCACTACACCTATTTGTGTACCTTATCCCAGTGGAGAAGGTTGTTTGACAGGAAAGAAAATTACTGTTAGCATTGGGGCACTGGCTGTTGACAAGTTGTTTCTACTCTCTGCAGGGTACTAGATTTTAAGCACCGCTAGATCTGCTTCATTTTCTTTAAAAGGCACTTTTCCAGGAAGATCAATGGTACATGGATGGATGTCATGAACAATTGTGTTCATGGCAAGACAGGCCCACTTCAGTAAGGCATTTAAAGGGAATACATTTGTTTCAGCATTTGTGTGAAGCACAAATCCTTCATCAGTGCAGCAAGATCTTTGGTCATTTTCCAAGGTTACATGGTATGAGGAACATGTGCAGATTCTGCAGACCTGAAACTCATCAAGTTGTCATGATATCTTTTACTTTTCTGGTCACAAGTCTATCTTCAGAAAAAAGGCAGACAGCTTACTTATGTTTCCTTGTGTATCACCACTTTATATCTGTCAAGTCTCACTCTAGGCTTCCAGAGAGAAAATAAAATAAAATCTAAAATAAAATACAGAAAAAGAAATAAATTGGCTAATCTTGAGATGTAAAAGCAAGTATATGTTATGAAAAATACAAAATAACATTCTTGGAGAGTTTAGAAAGAATATTATTACATACCTTGTTGTGAGGATTCACTCTTACCTTGTGATACTGCTGAGTTTTGCTGATGTTCTATCTCAAATCTACCTTGCCCTCCAACAGGAAGTTCCAGATTCCAATATCATTTACTGAAGTTGGTGGAATTAATCAAGCTAATTTATTTAATTTTGAGGTAATTTAACCATTAGACTTCATAACTAATAAATCCATCTTTCATTTATCTTTCTGACACAGTAAATGCTAAAATAAGTCAGAGCAACAAAAAAACCCCACTTTTTATGTAAGAGAAAACATGTTTATAAAAAGCCCAAATGGCTCTTCATTTATTTTATTTTTTAGGACATCTGCTAGTAGAACTTTTCTAACTGGCTATACATGGTTTGACCTTGAACCGTCAAATCATACCAGGGTTCACGCAAAAAAGAATCATAGAATGGTTTGGGTTGGAAGGAACATTAAAGATCATTTAGTTCCAACCCCCCTGCCATGGGCAGGGACACCTTACACTAGGGTCAGGTTGGCTCAAAGCCTCCTCTAATCTGGCCTGGAACATTTCCAGGGATGGGGTATCCACAACTTCTCTGGGCCACCTCTTCTGGTGCCTCACCACCCTCAGAGCAAAGAATTTCTTCCTTATTTCTAATTGAAATCTTCTCTCTTTCAGTTTAAATCCATTGCCCCTTGTCTCATCACTACCTGCCCTTGTAAAAAGTCCCTTCCTGGTCTTCCTCTGGACCCGTTCCAACAGGTCCATGTCATTCTTATGTTGGGGGCCCCAGAGCTGAATGCAATACTCCAGATGGGGTCTCATGAGAGCAGAGTAGAGGTCCCTCTGGATGTCATCCCTTCCCTCCAGTGTGTTGACCACACTACACAGCTTGGTGTCGTCGGCAAACTTCCTGAGAGTGCACTTAAACTCAGTCCAGCGCAGTGAGCTTTCTGTGCACTCTTCCTCGTTGACCGAAGGATCTTGAACTCCATCATTTCATGGTCAGTGCAGCCAAGGCATCACCTGAGCTTCACGTTCCCCACCAGCTCCTCCTTGCTGGTGAAAATAAGGTCCAGCATAGCACCTCTCCTCCTTGGTTGCTCTGTCACTAAGAACTCCAGGATTTACATTCCAGCAGACTGCCAAATGCACCA